TCCAGGAGTATGGTGGTCTTTGTATTTCCTGAATTTGAATGTTGGCCTGCCTTGCTAGGTTGGGGAAGTTCTCCTGGGTAATATTCTTAAGTATGTTTTCCAACTTGGTTACATTCTTCTTGTCACATTCAGATACATCAATCAAATGTAGATTTGGTCTTTTCACGTAATCCCATATTTCTTGAAGGCTTTCTTCATTTCTTTTCACTCTTTTTTCTCTAATCTTGCCTTCTCACTTTATTTCATTGAGTTGATCTTCAGTCTCTGATATCCTTTCTTCTGCTTGATTGATTCAGCTATTTAAACTTGTGTATGTTTCATGAAGTTCTTGTGCTATGTTTTTCAGCTCCACCAAATTGTTTATGTTCTTCTCTATGCTTGTTATTCTAGTTAGCATTTCGTCTAACCTTTTTTCAAGGTTCCCAGTTTCCCTGCATTGGGTTAGAACATGTTCCTTTAGCTCGGAGAAGTTTGTTATTCCTCACCTTCTGACACCTGCTTCTGTGAATTTGTTAAACTTATTCTCCATCCAGTTTTGTTCCCTTGCTGGTGAGGAGTGGTGATCTCTTGGAGGAGAAGAGCCATTCTGGTTTTTGGCAATTTTGGCCTTTTTGTGCTGGTTTCTTCCTATCTTTGTGGATTTATCTACCTTTGGTCTTTGAAGTTGGTGACTTTTGGATGGGATCTCTGAGTGGGCATCTTTTCTGTTGATGTTGAAGCTATTTCTTTCTGTTAGTTTTCCTTCTAACAGTAAGGCCCCTCTGCTCCAGGTCTGTGGAAATCCTCTCCAGATCCTGCTTGCCTGGGAATCACCTGTGGGGGCTGCAGAACAGCAAAAATTGCTGCCTATTCCTTCCTCTGGTAGCTTCGTCCCAGACGGGTACCTGCCAGATGTCAGCCAGAGCTCTCCTGTATGAGGTGTCTCTTAAGATAAATGGGGGTCAGGGAGCCACTTGAGGAGGCAGTTTGTCCCTTCAGAGCTCAAGTGCTGTGCTGGGAGATCTGTTGCTCCCTTCAGAGCTGCTGGGCAGGGATGTTTAAGTCTGCTGAAGCAGATCCCACAACCTCCCTTTTTCCCAGATGCTCAGTCCCAGGAAGGGGGTGCTTTATTTGTAAGTCCCTGATGGGCTGCTGCCTTTTTTCAGAGGTTTCCTGCTCAGCAAGAAAGGGGTCTATTCACAGTCTGCCTGTAGAGGCCTTGCTGCGGGTGTCCCTTATCAGAGCTGGGCTCCACCCAGTTGCTGTATAAAATTCCTGGAGTCTGTTTACACAGGCAGGTTAGGACCGCCTACCCGAGCCTCAGTAATGGTGGATGCCCCTCCCCACACTGAGCTACAGCTTCCTGGATGGAGCTCAGACTGCTTGGTTTGCTGCAAGAATTTCAAGCTAGTGGATCTTAGCTTGCTGGTCTTTGTGGGTGTGGGACCTGCAGAGCCAGATCACTTGGCTCCTTGGCTTCAGTCCCCTTTTTTTCAGGGGAATGAGCAGTCCTGTCTTGCTGGCATTCCAGGTGCCACTGGGGTATGAGAGAAAAAAAAAAAAACCGCTGCAGCTGAAATGGCTACTCAGTTTTGTGCTGGAAACCTGGGGTGCTGATGTTGTAGGCACAGGGCTGGGGGTGGGTAGTCTCCTGGTCTGAGGGTTGTGAAGACCATGGGAAAGAGCAGTGTCTGAGCCAGAGTGCCGGAGTGCCTGGAAAAGTCCCTAATGGCTTCCCTTGGCTAGGAGAGGGAGTCCTCTGGTCCCTTGTGCTTCCCAGGTGAGGAAGCAGATGATCCACCCTGCTTCGGTTTGCCCTCCTTGGGTTACACTCACTGTCTAACCAGTCCCAGTGAGATGAACCTGGTATCTCGGTTGGAAACGTGGAGAACACTCACCTCCTGGCTCGCTCTCGCTGGGAACTGCAGACCGGAGCTGTTCCTATTTGGCCATCTTGGCAGGAGTCCCAGAGTATCTTGGAACTGAGATTTCTACTGAGACCTGAAGAATGACCCAGGTACAGTTGGTAGAGGAGGGACTGAAACATTTCAGAGGTAATCACTTGTGTCATAGCCTGGAGTTAAAGAAAACCAGACATATTTGAAGAACTTAGGGGGAGAAAAGAGGAATGTCTGGAACAAGAGGCAAAAGTTGAGTTGTGAGAAAAAGACTGGAGAGGAAAGTAAAAGCCTGACTGGAGAGGGCTTTGTATTGTGTGTTACAAGGGTTGGATCTCATTTTCTTACTGCTCAGCACTGTTATTTTATAAATGTTACTAAAAAAAAAAAAAAACAAAAAACAAAGACAACTTACAGCCTTTTTCCTTTTTTTTTTGAGATGGAGTTTTGCTCTTGTTGCCCAGGCTGGAGTGCAGTGGCATGATCTTGGCTCACTACAACCTCTGCCTCCCAGGTTCAAGGTATTCTCCTGCCTCAGCCTTCTGAGTAGCTGGGATTACAGGCATGCACCACCATGCCCAGCTAATTTTGTATTTTAAGATGGGGTTTCGCCATGTTGGACAGGCTGGTTTCGAACTCCTGACCTCAAGTGATCCACCCACCTCAGCCTCCCAAAGTGCTAGGATTACAGGTGTGAGCCACTGCGCCTGGCCTTACAGGCTTTTTCTTTTTGTTTTTTTTGTAGACGGAGTTTTGCTCTTGTTACCCAGGCTGGAGTGCAATGGCACGATCTGGGCTCACTGCAACCTCTGCCTCCTGGGTTCAGGCAATCCTCCTGCTTCAGCCTCCTGAGTAGCTGGGATTACAGGCACGCGGCACCATGCCCAGCTAATTTTTTGTATTTTTAGTCGAGACGGGGTTTCACCATGTTGACCAGGATGGTCTTGATCTCTTGACCTTCTGATCCACCCGCCTTGGCCTCCCAAAGTGCTGGGATTACAGGCATGAGCCACCGCGCCCAGCCCCTTACAGCCTTTTTCTTTCTTTCTTTCTTTCTTTCTTTTTTTTTTTGGAGACAGAGTCTCGTTCTGTTGCTCAGGCTTGAGTGCAGTGGTGCGGTTTCGGCTCACTGCAAACTCTGCCTTTCAGGTTCAAGCGATTCTCCTGCCTCAGTTTCCTGAGTAGCTGGTATTATAGGCACCCGCCATCAAGCTTGGCTTTTAGTAATGATGGGGTTTCATCATGTTGCTCAGGTTGGTCTTCAACTCCTGACCTCAGGTGATCTGCCCACCTCAGCCTTCCACAGTGCTGGTATTACAGGCGTGAGCCACTGTGCCCAGTCACAGTATTTCTCTTAAAGGCCTTGTTTCTTCCTCTTTATGAGGAAGAATTGAATGACATTAAATTTTATGGTTTCTTTCATCATTTACTAAAAATTATTTGTCTTATTCATCTCACTACATTAGGTCAAAGCCTTCCTTAGAACTTGAATCTCATACACAGATTTGAGCCAATAACCCCTGTCCCTCTCCCTCCTGAGAGGAGATGTTTTCTCTTCCTAGCCCCCAGCAGAGTATGCCTGGCCCATAGTGGGAACTCAGTTAAATATTTGTTGACTGAATAAAGCTTACTTTTCTGTTGCTTCTTCTGATGGACAGCTGAGAGGCCATTGTTTGCCAGTAGTCAGTAATGCTTAAACTTGACTGGTTGGAAACAGCATTCAGACACATCATAGAACCGGCTAACCACACAATATGAAGCAGGAGCTATGGTGAAGCAGAAGAAAGAAGGGAATGAAAGTGGAAGACCTGAGTCTTTATTCAAGGCCCTCTGGAAGTGTCTTTCATGTGGGGGAATGAGAAATACCTCTTGAATGTTACTGAAGATACCTATTCAGGACATAGCTGAAGACATTTCCCCAGTACCTCTGTTCTTTAACCTTAGTCAAGCTACAGCCATGGATCATAGATTGAAACCAAATGTAACCTTTGCCCAAATTAGAAAAAGAGGTTTAGCAATGAAAAACAAGGCTGGGCATGGTGGCTTATGCCAGTAATCCCAACACATTGGGAGGCCAAGGTGGAAGGATTTCTTGAGGCCAGGAGTTTGAGATGAGATTGGGCAACATAGCAAGACTTTGTCTCTATAAAAAATTGAAAAATTAGCCAAGCGTGGTGGCTAGTTCTGAGTAGCTAGGACTCAGAAGGCTGAAGTGGGAGGATTGATTCAGAAAGTATAGGCTGCAGTGAGTTATAATTCAATCACTGCACTCCAGCCTAGGCAACCAAGTGACACCCTGTCTCAAAACAAAAAACAAAAAAACAAACAAACAAACAAAAAAAAAAAAACCCACCAAAAAAGACCCCAAAACCAAATAACAAAAACTCTGCTCAGTACCCATTCCAAAGTCTAGTCAACCTATGTTCATTGAGAACACATGGTATGCCCAGCTTCCATTTCCTTCAGAGCCCTTAGTGTCAAAAACAGGATGGTCCCTTCTGGGCAACAGAAATAGGGCATAGCAGTGGACAGTCAGATAGCATGGCTTTAGGAATGTTACATCCCCTTCTCTATAAAAGGGGAGACATAGTTGCCACAATCTCTGAAGTCCCTTGTAATTTAGACCAGTTTATAGGCATGATGTGCCTTGGCATGTGTCCTCCTGTGAGACCAAAAGAACAGCTCATATTTGCCCAGGGTGGCGAAACTCTCAACACAATGGCATCAGTGCTTTAGGGCTTTGCAAATGAAGTCCTTCTTTCGCTGTACTTTTTTGGTTTCTGCTTCTCCATTAGATTTTTGCCAGTTGGTTCTTTATTAACCTATCAGCTCTTTGGGGTTTTTAAGGAGATATTTTAAAAATACTATATTGAGCTGGACACAGTGACACATGCCTGTCATCCCAGCTTCTTGGGAAGCTGAGGCAGGAGGATCACTTGAGTTCAGGAGTTTGAGACCAGCCTGTATAACATAGCAAGACCTCATTTCAAAAAATAAAACTATATTGAACACTTCCTACTAGTGGTGGTGGTGGGAAAGGAGGTTGGGTCAAATAACCTAGTCTACCATTATTGAAATGGAAGTTCTTATGATTCTATTTTCATGAATGTTTTGTTTTTGTAGCCAAGGCAGCAATCAATGGAGGGTTCCAGAAAATTGAGAACTTAAAATCTTTCAATCAATCACCAGATTATGGAGGAAAGATCAGAAATTTCTTTCAAGCACTGAACAACAAGTCAAACTTGCAGAAGTTGAGTATCTCCAGGCATTTCACGGACTGTATCAAAGTTCAGGCCTCAACAGTCAAGCCTTTGAGTCAATGTGTGTTAATGACTGCCGTGCCTCATCAGACTGAACATGTTAAGCTGGCTTCTAGATGCAGATGATATCACATTGCTTAATGTCATGAAAGAAAGACATCCTTAATCTAAGTACTTAACTATTCTCCAAAAATGGATACTGCCATTCTCTCCAATCATTCAGAAAAAAAAAAAAAAACAGATTCAGCCAAAAATTGCTGAATCAATAATTTGCCTTGTGGCACACTGAGGATGAAAAAAATTTGTCAAGTAATGCTAAAAACAGAATAAATGCCAAAAACATTTATTAACTATTGCATACAAAGAAAATGTGTACGGCTTGTTAAAAACAAACAAACAAACAAACAAAACAAAAAACCAGCCCTGCATACTCACCACCAAGCTCAAGAAATAAATCATCACCAATACCTTTGAGGTCCTTGAATAATCCTCCTCATCTAAAGGTAAATCCTTCAATTAAGTTTATACAGCTAACCCTCCACTGTCCATGGTCAACAGGGAAGGGGTTGAGGAAAGCTCTGCCAATCTATTTAAAAACTACAATTTATATAATAAATGGCTAACTTAATGACTGAATCAGTTTCACACATGGATGAAATGAGTTTAACACAAGATCCACATGAATCTTCTGTGGACCAAGAGATATTCCTTAATCCTTATAGAATCTGTTTTCTGTATTGAACTAGCTTTGATACAATAGAGTTAATTTACTTTCCCTTTATCCACTGCCAATGTAAAGGGGAAACAGGGGTTAGGGCAAAATGTCTTCATCTCAGAGGCTTTTCAGAGTTCAACATATGCTGTAATTTAGAATTTTCTTATAAATCCACTCTACTTGGGTAGAAAATAGTTTAGTGATTTCATAATACTATTTCCATATCACAGTACTTCATGATATTATATTTGATGTATCTATATCAATGTCAGTGTTCAGAATTTCATTCCTACCAGTTAAGTAGTTTTCCGAATGGCCAGAAGACCATTCTAAATTCATGATGCTACTATAAGTTGGTAAACAACCATACTTTTATCCTGATTTTTATTTTATTTATTTATTTATTTATTTATTTATTTTTTTGAGATGGAGTTTCACTCTTGTTACCCAGGCTGGAGTGCAATGGCGTGATCTCGGCTCACCGCAACCTCCGCCTCCTGGGTTCAGGCAATTCTCTTGCCTCAGCCTCCTGAGTAGCTGGGATTACAAGCACGTGCCAGCATGCCCAGCTAATGTTTTGTATTTTTAGTAGAGATGGGGTTTCACCATGTTGACCAGGATGGTCTCGATCTCTTGATCTTCTGATCCACCCGACTCGGCCTCCCAAAGTGCTGGGATTACAGGCTTGAGCCACCGTGCCCGGCCTCTGATTTTTATTTTTACTAAAATAGTCAACTCCCCTCCCCTTGCCTAAGTATGAAATATAGGAACAGTATGTATGGTATGGTCCCATTTATTTAGAAAACCACTTACGGCTGGGCACGGTTGCTCACACCTGTAGTCCCAGCATTTTGAGAGGCTGAGGTAGGCAAATCACCTGAGGTCAGGAGTTTGACACCAGCCTGGCCAGCATGGTGAAAACCTATCTCTACTAAAAATACAAAAATCAGCCACTCGTGGTGGCACACACCTGTAGTCCTACCCACTCAGGAGGCTGAGACACAAGACTTCCCTGAACCAGGAGGCAGAGGTTGCAGTGAGTCAACATGGTACCACTGCATTCCAGCCTGGGTAACAAAGCAAGAACCTGTCTCAGAAAAAAAACACAAAAAAACACACATTTTAAGCTGCATTAAGAATTTCTGAATATGTTAATGAGCTTGATTGTGGTAATTATCATATCAGAAAGTATATGTATATCAAAACAGGTTGAACATCCATGTTGTACAACTGAAATATACATAATTTCAACTTGTCAGTTATACCTAAACAAAACTGGGAAAAAAAATTCTGGAAGGATATAGCTAAAAATGTTAATGGTGTGTACGTCTAGGAAGTAGGCCTGGAAGGCATTTTTTCTTTTCTCGCTCTTTCTGTATTGTTTTTTGTTTTACCAGTGCCTGCATTGTTTTTATATTTAGAAATAAATCTAGTTTAGCACTAAAACATTAACTGGAGCTACCTCTGGGGAGCAAGAGTACTAGAAGGTGAGATGGATTGTCTTCTTGCTTGTCTGATTTTATACGTAAATATAAGTTTAATATACAGATGCTCTGCCAGATGCAGTGGCTATTACCTGTAATTACAGCACTTTGGGAGGCCAAGGTGGGCGGATCACTTGAGGTCAAGAGTTCGAGACCAGCCTGGCCAACATGGTGAAACCCTCTCTGTATGAAAAATACCAAAAAAATAAAAAAAGGAAAAAGAAAATTAGCCAGGCATGGTGGTGTGTGCCTGTAATCCCAGCTACTTGGGAGGCTGAGGCAGGAGAATTGCTTGAACCCAGGAGGCAGAGGTTGCAGTGAGCCAAGACTGCACCACTGCACTCCAGCCTTGATGACAGCAAGACTCCATTTCAAAAATAAAAATAAAATATACAGATGTTCTTCAACTTATGACAGGGTTATATCCTGAGAAACCCATCATAAGTAGAAAATATTGTACATCAGAAATGCATTTAATATACCTAAACAACTGAACATCATCGCTTAACCTGGCCTACCTTAAACATGCTAAGAACACTTATATTAGCTTACAATTGGACAAAATCATCAAACACAAAGCCTATTTTATAATAAAGTGTTGAAAAATCTCATGCAATCTATTGAATACTGTACGGAAAGTGAAAAAAGGAGGTTTTATGGATACTTGAGGAACAATTTCTACTGAATGTGGATCACTTTTCCATCATGGCAAAGTAGAAAAATCCTAAGTCAAGTCATCATGAGTCAGGGACCGACTCTAAAAGAGTTATTAATAGAGGATTGGAATGAGGATTGGGTAGTAAGGAATAAAGAGAAGCCGGGGCAGACACAGGTAACAGCCAATATGGGTTTTTCACCGTAGGCTGAGACAGAACAACTTAAAGGAAGCTCAGGGCTGAGATCCAGATTTCGTGTGGGAAGACACGAAAGACAGGTTTGCTGAGGTTGTGAAGTTGCAGCCTGGGGAGGTGCTGGGCTTGGGGGACTTTGCTGAGAAGGGGCCCTGTGCATGTCAAGGGAAGCCATTCACGTGTGGGGTGCTCTGTGCTGCTGACCATTAGGTGCTGCTAAAGTTAGGCACTACTCAAGAAGTGTGGTTTTCACAGCCAGAGCCAGGTGCTGCAGAAGCAGGGTGTATGTGCTGCAGAAGCTGGTGGTGCAAATGGCACAGGTGTTACAGGTGTCTGCTTGGAAGAGCACACTGGAACCCTTGCTCCTTCGGTGTGTCAGCAGCACCCTTGAGACAAAGTTTTACACTGTGCTTGCTGCCATGGGAGAGGTATTTACAGGGCCCAGATCTATTACTGCAGAACAGACAATGAAGGCTGAATGTGGATATAAGAGGCAACAATTAGCATAGCTCATTAAATGTAACAGTGCATACCTAAACACAAAATAACCTAATAATTTCTTAATATTGACTGACAGGATATATGTACATGTGATATGTTTATAAAATCATAGAAAACTTATTAAATGATATATAAAAAACAGGCAACCATAATTGAGTTTAGGGAGAACAGGATGGCTGGTGGATAGAGAAGGGGGAGAGGGAGGTTTGCTTTTTTTCTCCTGCATACCTTTTTTTTTTTTTTTTTTTTTTTTTTGAAGTGGAGTCTTGCGCTGTTACCCAGGCTAGAGTGCAGTGGAAGGATCTCAGTTCATTGCAAACTCTGTCTCAGGTTCAAGTAATTATCCTATATCAACCTCCCGAGTAGCTGGGATTACAGGTGTGTGCCACCACACCTGGCTAATTTTGTACTTTTAGTAGAGATGGGTTTCACCATGTTGGTCAGGCTGGTCTTGAACTCTTGACCTTAGGTGATCCACCTGCCTTGGCCTCCCAAAGTTCTGGGATTACAGGTGTGAGCCACTGCACCTAGGCTGCATACCCTTTTATACCAGTTGAGTTTTATCCCACGTGTGCATACTATTAAAAATCACAATGCTAGGCCGGGCGCGGTGGCTCAAGCCTGTAATCCCAGCACTTTGGGAGGCCGAGGCGGGTGGATCACGAGGTCAAGAGATCGAGACCATCCTGGTCAACATGGTGAAACCCCATCTCTACTAAAAATACAAAAAAATTAGCTGGGCATGGTGGCACATGCCTGTAATCCCAGCTACTCAGGAGGCTGAGGCAGGAGAATTGCCTGAACCCAGGAGGCGGAGGTTGTGGTGAGCCGAGATCACGCCATTGCACTCCAGCCTGGGTAACAAGAGTGAAACTCTGTCTCAAAATCCATGCAAATTATTTGTCCAGAGCTTCTTCTAAGGGCTTTTAGTTCAAGTAGGGTCAGTAAAGTATGGCCCTGGACTGTCCAATCCTCAGGCTAAGAATGGTTTTCACATTTTTTAAAGCAACAAAGATAATCAGTGGCCTACAAAGCTAAAATATTTACTCTGTTCTTTTACAGAAAATGAACGATTTCCATGACAGAATACTTTTGAATCATAAGCTCATCATGCCCTTTATTCCAGTTTACATCAATCTTCATAGGACTCCTAAGTCATCCCTCATTGTCACAACACCTGTCCTCATGGTTGTAAGCCCTTTCTCCCTTCCTTTTTCTTTCTGTCATAAAGAAAAGAAGTTTACTTGACTCACGGTTCTGCAGGCTTTACAGGAAGCATGCTGCTGGCATCTTCTCAGCTTTTAGGGAGGCCTCAGGAAACATAATCATGGTGGAAGGTGAGGAGCACATGTCACATGACAAAAGCAGAAACAAGGGACAGAGAGTTGGGATGTAGGTTCTGTAAATTTTTAAATGACCAGATCTCATGAGAACTCAGTTATCAACACAAAGACAACACCAAGCCATGAGGGATCTGCCCCCATGACTCACACCTCCACCATGTTCCACCTCCAACATTAGGGATAAAATTCAACATGAGACAAATATCCAAACCATATCACTCCACCTCTGGTCCCTCCCAAATCTTATGTCTTTTTGAAATTGCAAAATACAATCGTACCTTCCCAACAGTTCCCTAAAGTCTTAATTCATTCCAGCATTAACTCAGAAGTCCTAAGTCTAATCTGACACAAGGCAAATCCCTTCTGCCTATGAGCCTATAAATAAAACAAATTAT